CCAGTAATCAAAAAGGAACTTCCATGAACGGGTAATATGCTTTGTAGTCAATAAATGGCTCTCTGTGACCTCTAACCATCAATGCAGAGTAGAATGATCATAGTGTTTTCTTTTGTTTTAAAGATTGTGTGAGGATTATTGTTTATGTTTTTCTCTTTAGTGCAGTTAAAGGGGTCAACAAAGCAAACATACAGTTAGGTTGTGTGTTACAACTGGCACAAAATCAGAGGCTTCTATGGGAGAGAGTCAAGGCAGTTGTAGCAAGCTGATGTACATGGATATAGTGTGGATACATCATCAGCATGGAGAGTTCTGAATTGTACTGAAACATGGATAAACACAACTGAGACAAAAAGGGATTAAACGAAGATAATAGAAAAGCATTTTTGCACAAGGGGACTCTACTGCAACTCTCCAGCACACAATTCTAAGCAGCTCATCAGACAACATATCCCAAGATTCTGTAGGACTATGTGCTCTTCTGGGAGTTTCACCTGCCAGGCCCACATTGAAATTGTGCTCGCCTTGAGTCCATGAACTCTCCCAGCCCAGCAAAATAAAACCCAGCAATGGCATGTGCCTTACCAAAAACGTGAAGGCAGGATTGAGCAGTTGTAACTGTAAAATAGTTCTTACGTTCTGTGTACTGCTGTAATTGTGTTCTTATTATTTTATGTCTTTGCAGTTTTCTGCGAGAGAGAAAGAGAGTATATTGGTGATTTTCAGCTGAGAATTCTGTCACACCAAACTACAAAACCTAGGAATGCTTAGTTAAATTGATGGTTTAACTAAGTTAAAACTGCTTAGTTAAGCTGCAGCAAATGTCTAATGTAAATAATAATTTAGCAACTAGAGAAGAGTCTTAGGCAAAAATGTGCTGGTATTTTTAGTCTTGCCCTTTTGTCTTTGGCTCACCAATTAAACAGGGATCCAGAGAACTTCTTTGGAACTGAATGAGGCTATTAGAAACTCAAGGCCTTATTGAGGAAATTCAACACCAGCAAACTTGTTGCCAAATCAAGAGTCTCTTCATAAAGCATGACGAAGGCATCTGAGACATTACTGTATTTTTCCATATATAAGAAACTTATTTTTCCCTAAAATCAATACACTAAAAATGAGGGGCGTCTTATACACAGAAGTAAGCTTTACTGTATTTTTCTATATATAAGGCGCTATTTTTCCCTAAAATCAGTACACTAAAAATGACGGGCGTCTTATACAAAGAAGTAAGCTGAGAAGAGAGCAAAACTGCCTGTGCCTTGCCGCTGTAAACAGGCTTCCTCCAATCATGAGGCTTAACTTGCTACAGTCAGGAGACTTAGCTTCCTCCAATCACGAGCCTTCTGGAACTGACATCAGCTGATGCTGAACAAACCAATTGGAACACCCCTCATTGGAGGTGGAGCCTGTAGGCTCAGATGCAACAGGGACTTGTAATGTCCAAGCATTCTAAGCCCAGAGGCTGAATACTGAGAGCTAAGTTAAGATTTCTTAATTTAGAAATCTTAGAAAAGTTAGAAAAGTTGGGGGGTCTTATACACGGAAAAATATGGTATCTAGTCCAACTGGCTGCAGAAGCTACAGTACAGGATGGAGCTGCAGCATTCGTGATAGATAGCTGTCCAGCTTCTGTTTAAATATCACCAGTAAGGGAGAGCCCAAGACCTTCTGACCCAACCTGTTCCACTCAAATCACTCAATAGTTCCTAACATTCCATCCTGTGCAGGCAAGTATCCTAAGTTGCTTGTCCACGAGAAGCTCTTCATAATGCAGAAAGGTCTGAATTATATGATTCTTTTGAGTTCTGGAGTCCCACTTGCGTGGGTAGCTCATTGAAGCAGAGTTTGGCAAATGGATGCGTATCTCACAACCTTTCAAGAAAAGGGGGGGGGGGAATCACGCTTTTCATAATGGGATTTTGCTGCATGAAATTCCCAATGTGCAGAGAAATCTTGTAAGAAATTTACTGCATGGGAAAACTTGCAGGGTTTCTCAGAATTTTCAAGATTACTTTGTTGGAAGAAATTCTTCTATGCATCTTTCCTGTCCAGGATTCACTGTTAAAGGGCAGAAGAAACACCAGTCTGCACAGGATTGCTATATTTCCTGCACAGGAGGAACAACTTTCTTGCAGAAGGTTCAACAGGACGAGCCTTGGCCTGTTTTAAATTTGACCGTTTCTTGTTCAGAACAATGGATGAAGGGGGGAATTGATCAATCAATGGGAATATGAATTGGGTTCTTGTTTTCATGAGAAGCTGGGAAATGTTGCTTATGCAGGGGGAAATCTCAGCGAGGAGCCTTGTGATGATGAGAGTCAGAAAATTGCTGACAATGAAAAACATTGAGTATACTCTCTACCTTGGAAACACTGATTTTTTAGACTGCAATTCCAGAACTCAGAGATAGAACTGTAGACAAAAAAGAACCCCTAACCTATCAAATGGAACTCAGAGACTGAACTCGGATAAGTTAAGGTTTTTAGTCTACAGCTCCCAGAATCAAACCGGAATGTTTATGTGGGGTGGAATTCAAAGAAGTTATATTCTCAGGCTCTGCATTGGGTTGCCTCTCATCCACATGTGGACTGCTTCCAGCTGGCTTCCATGCAACTTGGTGGTTGTATGAAGGCATGTAGAAAAGCTCAAACAGGGGACATCTTTGTGTAATTGACTCTTTTTCTTCTTTCTGCCCTCCAGTGATCCCTAAAGTCACCAAGCACTTGCTCTCGAATCCGGTGTTCACCTGCATTGTCCTCGCTGCTTGCATGGAGATAGCCGTGGTGGCTGGCTTTGCTGCCTTCCTTGGCAAATACCTGGAACAGCAGTTCAATCTCACGACGTCGTCAGCCAACCAGTTGTTGGGTGAGTAGCCACAAACGGATCTCCTGTCCAGATGGAGCCCATTTCATCATGAATTAAACGGAAGTGTATTGAGCCCATTAATCCACAACAGAATTTAGGCAGATCAAATACAGCAAACTTCTATCTCAATGAGAGTGACTAACATTACGAAGGAAACAGCTAATACTCTTGAACTTTGCTTAGTTCCGTAATAGGCTAGATGAGAGTGAACAAGCTAAAGTTAGACCCTGGTAAGACAAAAATGCTGCTGGCAAGTAGAGAGCTGGACTCCAGGACTAGGATTCAACCTGTTCTGGAAAGGAGCCTCATGGCACAGAGGTTAAATGATTGTTGTGGGTTTTTCGGGCTCTTTGGCCGTGTTCTGAAGGTTGTTCTTCCTAACGTTTCACTAGTCTCTGTGGCCGGCATCTTCAGAGGACAGCAACCTGTGCTCTGGTGTAGTTGGCTTGGGAGTGCAGTATTTATGGCTGTGAGATATGCTTTTGTCCTTTTCAGGAGATGGGTGATTAGTGTGTCTTGTTGTGGGTGTATTCGCAAATACAGAGGTTAAACTTCAGCACTGCAGTGAAAACTACACAGAACTTGAGTTCGATCCTGGACGCAGGTAGCCAGCTCAAGGTTCACTCAGTCTTCCATCCTTCTGAGGTTGGTAAATTGAGTACCTAGCTAGTTGCAGGGAGAGGCAGTGTATAGCTTGCATCATTAAAAATTGTAAATTGCCTAGAGAGTGTTTTAAGTGCTGTAGGGTGGTATATAAGCTGAACACTTTGTTGTGCTTTTGTGCTCCTCCCAGAAGTTGTGGTTTCTATGTTTGGGAGGGAGTCCTTCAGTCTGCCTTGCCTTGGACAGTGGCGTGCAGAGCGGTTTGCAGGATTCTATTTAGTGCCCCAGCAGCAATCCTTTGGGAGATAACCTGGCTTACCAACAGCCATCCACACCTTAATGCCCTGTATGTGGCGCTGTTTGTCTGGAAACTTAAGCCAGCGTCCCCTGTGGCTGTCAAGCTTATAATTGCTACATGGTGCCAGCGTCATATCATCCCAATACTAAAAGATCTGCCCCGGTTTAAGTGTTGTTCTGCAGACCTAATACAAGGTGGTGGTGTCAAGGCTGCAGGCATTGCATGTGTAAAAGCGTCAGAATGCATTTTAATTAGCCTGTAGTATGGGAAAGATTACACGGTAGAGCCATATGTTAATGTATCCACGAGATGGCTCTCTAGTTGCCTAGCAAATTCCTAGCCCAGCTTGGTCTCCTGACAGTCTGCTGGGTTCGTTCGTGTTCTAGGGATCTAGTCAACATTTCTTGATGATGGGTTGGCTGCTTGGTTGATTTAATTTGCATACTGCCCATTAGTTCAAAGCACAATGTAACAAAATAAAGAACACAAGGACAATAAACTGATAAATAAACAAGTCAAGTAAAATTAACACAACATATAACCAGTGGTGTCATTTTCTGAGGCAGAGCAAAATGTACAGTGATGCCTCGCAAGATGAAAATAATTCGTTCCGCGAGTCGTTTCGTATTGCGAAAATTTCATCTTGCGAAGCGTGGTTTCCCATAGGAATGCATTGAAATTTAATTAATGCGTTCCTAGTCGTCTTGCAAAGCACCAAAAAAAATTGCAAAACGCCTTCATCTTGCGAGTTTTCATTGCGCGAGGCATTCGTCTTGCGAAGCACCAAAAATAATCGCAGAACGCCTTCGTCTTGCGAGTTTTCATTGCACGAGGCATTCGTCTTGCAAGGCATCACTGCATGTGAATCAAGCAGAGTTGCATTGAAAGGCCTCTCTAAAGAACCACACCTTCCGCCACCTGCTAAAATTTGGGAGGGAGGAGACGAGGCGCAGCTCAACCAGGAGCTGGTTCGAAAGTGCTGGCGCTGCAATAGAGAAGGCCTGGGTCTTCGTGCATGATTTTCTGGCGGGGCCGCCCGGAGGAGCGTTGCCTTGGGAAATCTCGTGGCACAGGTAAATGACCTTGACAAAAGGCGCTCTGAGCAGTAACACGGTCCCAAACCATGAAGGGCTTTATAAGCAAGCCTCAAAGCCTCAAACCTGAAATGGGGATGTATCCGGTAACCAGAGCAAGAGAGCCAAGGCTGAGGAGATGTAAGATGTAAACATATAAACGATGCCTTGCCAACATGGCCGCCTTCGGTCCTTTTAAGGAGAAAGGTGGGGTCGAAATAAATAAGTAGGTAAGTAAATAAGAAAGCAAGTCAGTCATGCAGTTTGCTCAGATGGTGGTTTGCTGGGCTGGCAAAAGTAACATAGATTTCCGTAGAAATTTTAAGAGATTGATTTAATAGGTTAGCAGTTTGCTCCACTAGCAGGGCGCCACTTGCCGACAATTAGAGAGGTATATACGACAGTTCAAAAAGGTATTAAGAACTTGCTCAAAAGACAGCTTAGGCGAGGAACAAAGGTTGAGAGGAGAGCATCTGTAGAGGGCGGTGGGAGAGAGGCTCTGCTGGGTGGGTGCGAGACTTTATATAAAAATATAGAAATATGCTTGATGTGATGATGTAATTGCTTGTGCTTTAACAATTAAGATACTAGTCACTTAACTGAGAGTTTTTAAAATGTAGTCACTACTCTTAATACTTCGTTAAGTGCTTGCTGTTTCATTTTGATTCGGTTTTCATTGTTTTTTTTTAAACATGTTACGCTTTCATAGTTATAGCTAACTATATAACTTATACAAACACTATTACATATATATTTATATCTGCTTGCATACACTTGTTAAATCAAAGAGAACATAGAGATTCTTCTGGACATTCAGTTTAATCTCCTTTGCAAGGAGCAAGAAACTTGAAGGATATTCAGAGGAAGGACATTAATAGTGCAGGATATTTATCTGGTTCACTTTTGAAAGAAACTCAAACAGGGATAATGACAGTTGTGGTTCACATAGGCTTTTGATTTCTGTTTTCCTCTCCTAGAGGTCTCTAAAGGTCTCTGGGGCTCTTAGAGAAGGTGTTCAATAACCACACTTGAGGATAAAGGGTTTTACCCTTTAAAACTGTGAACGCCTTGGACCTTGACAATGTAAGGAATAGAGTTCAGAAGCAATAAGTAACAAGTAACAAGTCAAGAAGTAATTTGTTCCTTTGGTGACCAGCAAAAACACTCATTTTTCTTGGTCACCAGTTAATCCCTTTTTCTTGCAAAAGGATCGGGGGAATTCTCATGTTTATCCTTGTTACGAGTCTCACCATCTTTCTTTCTGTTCAGAACTGAACCATGTTTTCCCCTTTCCATCCTCTTTTATTCTTTCTTTATACCCCAGCTGTTTCACCGCTAATCATGATGTTCCCAGGAGTTCCCATAAAACCAGACTTTTTGACATGGTGCTGTATATGGAGAACTCCCCATATTAAACTGTAAGATGCTGTAATGTCATGAGATCTGTAACAATAGAGGGCCCTATAAGAGATGCAGTATTACAGATCCTATAATATGGGAGCCTTTTTACACCTGCAATATAGTAAATAATAATAACTTGCAGTCAAGTTAATTGCAGCTTCTGGTGACCTTTTCCAGGGCTTCTTAGATATAGAGTATTCCAAATCAGTCCACTGTTCCTTTCTCCTGGATCTACCCTTGGACTGTGTAGCTTGACCAAGGCTATACACACGGGATGAGAAGAGAATGCTTTCCAACAGTAAATAAAAACTGACAGAGAGGAGGGAGGCTATAAGAGTGATGATAATCTGACCCTAACAGGATACAGTGGTGCCTCGCTAGACAGTTACCCTGCATGACAGTTTTTTTCGCTAGACATTGACTTTTTGCAATCGCTATAGCGATTCGCAAAACAGTGATACCTATGGGGGAATTTTGCTGGACAATGTTTGGTCCCTGCTTCGCAAACCGATTTTCGCTAGACAACGATTTTGACAGCTCCCTCCGCGCTCGCAAAACAGGTGTTTTCGGGACCTAAGCTTCACAAGACAGCTATTTAAACAGCTGATTGGCGGTTCACAAAGCGGCTTTCCTATGGCTGATCTTCGCTAGACAACGATAATTCTTCCCCACTGGAATGCATCAAACAGGTTTCAATGCATTCCAATGGGGAAATGCTTTTCGCTAGACAATTATTTCGCTAAACAGCGATTTCAGTGGAACAGATTATCATCGTCTAGTGAGGCACCACTGTACCAACAAACAGAATTAATTCTTTTTAAAAGTGCAATTATGAACTCTGGTAAAGGACTTCGAACCATGGCTTTTTTCTGTGTTGCCTCCAGAGTGTGGAACACACTCCCTTTAGAGTAGCAGTCCGTTTCCCCCCTCTTTGGGCTTTGGGGGATTGATCTGAAAATATGTCTCTTTAAACTGTTCTTTTAAACAGTTTTCCTGACTAATAATCACAATGTGATTATTTTAATTGCTTTAATTATTGTGATTTTAAATACTTTATTCTCCCCATCTCTTCCTAATCTGTTTTAAATTTGTTTTTAATCTCTTTTAATCATGCTTGTTAGCTGCCTCGAGCGCTGTTGTTTTAAGCAGAAAGGTGGGATAGAAATGTAATAAATAAATAAATAAATATGAACAGGCGGGTTTTAATTTTACTCTTCAGTGATTGTGTTCTGTAATCTCAACCACTCGGGGGGGGGGGTTAAAAGAAAGAAATATAAAATCATTTTTATATACATAAATAAACAAGTTATCCAGCTTCTGTTCAGTCACCATCCACTCTAGGTTCTGTTTAGCTTGTTCAGTTATAACTCTTGAAGAACCAGAATCTTCGTCCTTTATGTTTGAAAGTCAACGCTCATTTCACAAATGGCCCAGGTTTGAAATTCACCCACACTATTGCATTGAGAGACTGATAAAGAATGGGCAAGTGTCCTAATAGAAAGTCTAGTGAGTAGTAGGTGCAGTGTGGTATAGTGGGTAGAGTGATGGATTAGGATTCGAGAGGCCTGGGTTCAAATCCCCGCTCCCCATGGAAACTCTGGTGGTGGTCTGGAAATTGGGTCATGGCAACTGGATTTCTCTCTTATTAAGTTGAAATGTTTTGTTACTCAACGCTCACCCATGGAAACTCTGTTGGTGGTCTGGAAGTTGGGTCATGGCAACTTATTAAGTTGAAATGTTTTGTTACTCATCCAAGTAGCTTCTTCAGTCTGCTTGGATGAGTAGGAAAATGTTTCAGCCTAGTAAGAAAGAAGCCCAGTGGCCATGACTCAACTTCCAGATCTTCACAGATCTGTTGGGGGTGGTAAAACCATTCCTTAAATATCTTTCTTATCTTGAAAACCCTACTAGGGTCGCTATAAGGGTCGCCAACTTGACAGCACATAACAACAACAGTGAGCCATGGGCCACATAGAGACCTGAGCCTCTTCTACAACCTCCCCATCATCAGAGAAAGAACTTCGGGCAGTATCTGACTTTATTGCATGGAAAAAATCTGCATCACAATAAAGCACACCTTCCCCATTTTTGTGGCCACAAAAAAGCTGCAGTTCATTGGTAGAACAAAGTGTTGGAAGTGCTCAGCTTGGAAGCAAGGTGTACACTCTCAGGAGGTGGCACATCTGCACATACCTTGTGTAAAACTAATCTCCAATGTTGCAGATTATGCGCGAGAAGGCAAAAGAGCAGCCTGGCTTCCTTGCTAAGACTGCTATGCTTAGGTAAACAAGGGAGTAGCCAAGTGTCCCCGCTTTTCAAAATAGGCTATAACATCTGGGTGCATGTTCTCTAAAACAGGGGTCTCAAACTCAATTTACCTGGGGGCCACTGGAGGCAGAGTCTGGGTGAGGCTGGGCCACATCAGATTTTCCACCAAGCGGAGCAAGAGCCCGAGGAAGCTGCCCAGGAATTTCCTTAGCCCGGCTGGGGCTCCGAGGAGGAAGAGGGGCACCGGCCATGACCCCTTCCGATCCTTCTTCACTACCAGCAGCAGCAGGAGGATGAAGAAGCAGAGAAGGGAGGGAACGCCGGTGACCGCCTAGCGGGGGGGGGGGGGGGCACAACATAATTTAAAAAAAAAAAAAAACCTTCACAGAATTGGCCTTGCCAAAGGAGAAAAGCCCCCACTGGTACCTGCGAAATTAAACAGAATGGGGCAGGGTCCCCACAGGTGCGCGCGCGCACACACACACACAGGGGTCCGGCAACCTTCCTCTGAGGGTCCCCCTCAAAAAAAAGCACACTCAGGAGCAGCAGCTACCCCCACCACGACAGAGGAGCAAACCTGGCAAGGCGAGTGCCGCTGAGGCGGCCACTGGCCGGGCTGGTGTTGGGGGTTCTAAGAGAGCCAGAGAGCTGCTTCCCTGGAAGAGGCGGTGGTGGTGGCAGCTGCTATTGGCGGCTTGGAGGTGCTCTTCGAGGACGGGCTGGGGGTGAGCTCTGCTCAGTGGCGGCTCGGGCAGTCGGGGAAAAGGGCCAGCAGCGCACCTTGCTCGCCGGCTCTCTCCCAAGACAGCGCCTCTTGGACCCTCGATCCAGAAGTGAAGCCGGCAGATAGGCGGGCTGGCTGGCAGGCTGCAGTTCTGGATGGAGGGTGCAAGAGACGCCGTCTTCGGAGAGAGCCGGCGAGCGAGGCGAGACTTTTGTGACTCTTGACAGCAGAGGATGCACGGGCGCTTCAGGGGGCAGGCAAGGCAGAGGCCACAAACTATCATCCGGCGGGCCACAAATGGCCCCTGGGCCGCATGTTTGAGACCCCTGCTCTAAAGCATCCTTTCCCAGCCCAACTGAGGGATCATTTGTGATGTATTCCAAGCTGCACAAAGGTGCCAAATTTGGTAAATCCATTGGCACAGAATAAGTGGAATTTCACTTGGCTCTCCTATGGAAGAGGGAGTTGGAAGAGGCGTGCAGAATTCTGCAGAGTTGGAAAAGAGATGGCTAGCCGGGTCCTGCTTTCCCCTTCTCTCCCACGCTGCCGCAGACCAGAAGCAACCCATGGGTGCTCAGTTTGCCTGGTCCCTCTGCCTGTGCTTCATGGGGTCTGGAAAACCAACCTCCTACACTTACCCCTTCAACCGGTCACCCATGGATGGAAAAGAATATCGTTGTATTTGACAGTCTCAACAAAATCAGCTCTTTTGCTCTTCCCAAGGCTCAGCTTGAGAAGCCCGAGCATTTTCATATTTGTGAGATTTACAGACCATTTTGGGGGGAAAAAAATCAAGCATGCATGAATGCACACTCTAAGATGGAAATGATTTAAATGAAACAGTTGAGAAAATACACATAAACAGACTTGAGTCAAAGGGAGAGTAAGTGTATCTTAGATGAACTGGATAAACAGATGTGTACATGTGTAGAATATATAATTTTCATGTTGTGTCTTTTTAACTTTATCTATTTTTAATAGAATAATCAGAGATAAGGAATTTTCCCTCTAAAATCCTATGTAGCATTTTATTCTATAGTTAAACAGGTGGGAATTTTTTTTTTAAAAAAATACCTTTTAAAATGATGTTAATAAAACAATGTAGTTGACATGTTCCATTTTTAATTTATTTTATGAATTTATGTTTATGGTAATTTGCGCATTTAAAATATTTTCCCCACCTTTCTCCTTAAGAAGGACCCAAGGCAGCTTACATGAATAAATGGCAGTGTTTAAAGCTAAAAACTAGAAGTACACAAATATTTAAAGGGATCAGTCAAATACCACTCTGAGAAATGGTAAAGAACGGCAATACTAAAAGCACATTCAAAGCAGTAAAACCACAACAATCCATTTTAAAACCCCTCTCAAGCAGCCAGTCACTGAGGGAAAGCTTGCCAGAAGAGAAAGTGCTTCGCCGTCTTGTAGAAGGACAGCAAAGATGGGGCCAGGCTGGCCTCCAGTGGGAGGGAGTTCCATAGTCTCAAACAAGCAACAGAGAAGGCCCCCTCCTGTATCCCCACCAAATATACCTGTGAAGATGTTGTGACCAAGAAAAAGGCCTCTCCTGATGATCTTAACACTCAAGGAGGCTCATAAAGGGAGATGCAAAACAACTTTTCAGAAACCAAGAGCCAGCAGCAAGAGAAGTATCTCAAAGATATACGTATGTGCATCTTTACTCCCTGATAGGTTCACTGCCAGGCAAAATGTAATTACTGTATGCTTTGAAGGAATGCATGTACAACAAATAAAAACATGCATTTTTCTTTATTTCATAGCAATATTGCATCCTTCAGGGAGGAGGCAGTGCACAAAGCCCCCACACCCACCTTTTGCCTGCATAACAATCTTGGGAGTGTGCCTGGCTGAGGGAAAGGGCCCGGCCAAGATATCCAGTGAGCCCCATAAGTGCTGGGGGCCTTAAACCTGAGCCTTCTGTGTCCTAATCCACTTCCTAGAATTGTAGAATAACTCTGCTGGAGGGGGCCTCTAAAGCCTTCGAGTCCAACCCCTTGCTCAAGGCAGGAATCCGATTCAAACCTGATCTTCCTGAGGTTTTCAAGAAAAGGTGGGACAGCCCTCTGTCCGGGATGGCATGAGGTTGGACTAGAAGGCCTCCAAGGTCCCTTCCAACCCTATGACGCTTCTATGGTTCTCAACCTTCTGTTCTCCCTTTTGCAGGCATGACGGCTATTCCCTGCGCATGTCTGGGCATCTTCCTGGGTGGTCTTTTGGTGAAGAAACTGAGCTTGTCCGCTCTGGGGGCCATTCGGATGGCCATGCTGGTCAACCTGGTGTCCACAGCCTGCTACGTCTCTTTCCTCTTCCTTGGCTGTGACACAGGACCTGTGGCCGGAGTAACTGTTCCCTATGGAAACAAGTGAGTAGACCGAGATACTTATTCTGTCTTAAGCTTACGCTGTCATTTTTCCTCCAGGAAACTTTATGGCTCTCCACAGAACCCTGTGAGGTAGGACAGGCTGAGAGACTAGAATTGACCCAAGGTCACCCTGTGAGCTCGGTGGCTCAATGGGGATTTCTGCCCAAGGCCCCTTGAGTCCTGACTGGTTTGGCAGGCGTTCTGCAAAGTGTGACTTTTTTTGGAGTTAATTAGGAAAAGGCTGTGTGGTCCATAAAATGACACAAATAGGAAGAGCGGACAATACCTTTTATTTGCACCACTTTTTTAAAAAATCAAATGAATTGCAAGCTTTCATGGAGAAGATTCTACTGGACAAGGCTGAACGCCGCCATGACACTGGAAGGGCCACGAATGTCACACAAAGATCTCAATCCTTTCTTGGTGTAGCCTTTGTGCAACTGTTTTTCTGGTCAGTGGTACCGTGGAGATAATACGATGCCACCATGGCTAACGACTAAGGTCATCCTTATTCTCCATAACCTGGTGCTTTTTAGAAGTTGGACAATGTCAGGTGGGTTCAAAACATCACCTGGGGAAGGAGATGGAAGCCGCACTAAGATGAGGCTGGATTGCATCTCCCATTAGTCCTATTCAGCACAGCCAGTGTTAAGGAATACTGGGAGCTGCAGTTCAGCAATATCTACACAAGGCTACACTTAGCCGAAAGAGATGTTTCATTTGAAATACTTGGGGCCATATGTTAAGAATCACCTATTCTAATTTTGCCCTACATGATAGATTTCTGCATTACTCATATATGCATAGGGATGCAAGTGGCGCTGAGGGGCTATCGATTGAAAAGTCAGCAGTTTGAACCTCCTTGACAGGGTGAGCTCCCGTCGCTTCTCCCAGCTCCTGCCAACCTAGCTCTTCGAAAGCATGCAAATACGAGTAGATGAATAGGTACCACCTCGGTGGAAAGGGAACCGTGTTCTGTGTCTCGTCATGCCTGCCACGTGACCACGGAAAGGGTCTACAGACAAATGTCAGCTTTTCGGCTTACAAGCGGGGATGAGCACCAGCCGCTAGAGTCAGACACAGTTAGACTGTTTCCCCTTAAAGGGGAAACTTTACCTTTAATAATATACAATGGTGCCCCACATAGCGTCGTTAATCTGTTCCGGATTAATCGTTGCTATGCAAAAACATCGCTAAATGGATGGAAAAAACTCATAGGAACGCTTTAAACTTGGTTTAATGCGTTCCTATGGGGCCCAAACTCACCGTTCAGCGAAGTTCCTCCGTAGCGCCGCCATTTTCGCGCGCTCGGTAAGCGAGGGCAGGGCGCGAAAACACTTGCGACGGCCATTTTGGGCACCCAGCGGCCATTTTGGAACCACCGATCAGCTGTTTAAAAAAACATCGCAATGCGAAGATCGGTAAGCAAAACGCTTACCGATCATCGCAATGCGATGTTTTACCCATTAAAACATCACAATGTGATCGCATTAGCAATCTAAAAAATTAGATCGCTATGCGGATTCGTCGTTAAATGGTGCACTCGTTAAGCGAGGCACCACTGTATGCATATATGTATATTAGATACCAATAGTACTTCCGGTTCTAGTTTTGTCCTCTAAATTTAATTTTGAGCTTTGATTTTTCTGAAGGAGAAATGCTTCTGGGTCGTCCTTCTTGCTTACCAACAGCAGATTCCTTCCCCTGCTGACTTCTCTTCCCCTTCTCTGTCTTTTCCAGATCAGGACCATCATACAACCTGGTCCCATATTCTGCCTGCAATAACAACTGTAAATGCCAAACTGATTCCTTCACTCCAGTCTGTGGGGCTGATGGGGTCACGTACTTATCCGCCTGCTTCGCGGGATGCACTAGCACGGTAATTCATGTTTGCTCTTAAAGAGGGTCGGTTTGGGTTGATCTCCAAAAGGAAGCAAAGTACTGACCGGCCAGCTGCAAATTCAAGACCCTCTCTGAGATCTCTCAGCCTCCTCCCATCCCTTATAGTAAAACAATATTTTTTTGGTCTGCCATCTCAAATAAACAGTCATAAAGTCCAAAGCTTGAAGTAGAATTCTCGAAACATGCCAGAACCTGGAGGCGTTGGGACTACAACATCCATAATCCCTTAGTAGATATGCTGAGCTGAGGAATTCTGGACACTGTAGTCCAACTTTTCCAAATCTGAAAATACACAAGGATGATATTAGAAAGACAACCAGAATCGTAGCTTGATGTTTTCTGTAAACCCAATTAGCAGAAAGGAGAAGGGAACAGGGAGACACTCCTGTAACCAGCACCTTCCATAAAATATGCCCCCTCTGCTTAGTTTCTCACGGTAACAAAACGGATTTAATATCTGCACTATGGTGACGTCTAGCTCCTCCTACTGTAGCATTGCAGGGTGGCCTGCGGTCTGAGCTTGAGATGGAGAGACAAGGCGGCCTTCCCCTCGGCATTTCAGAGCGAGGCATTCGCTGTGCTTGGCCCGTAAGCCTCCTCTCGCGGCCTCCATCCTTTTCTAGAATTCTGCTCCTCTTTCTCATCACTGTCGCAGTGGCCTGCCTGTTTTTGCTGCCAAAGAACCAGAGGAAGCTGGATTCGTGTGTTTTCTCTTGCACCACCTCTGGAAGATTGCTTCTTTCCTCTCCTCCCCTACCCCACTCCTTGCTGTGGACATGATTTCTTGCCTCTGTGTGAAACCATGCAACAGGAAGTTGCAAGAAAAGGAACGAAGTGGTTGGAGGGAAAGTGAGCAACAGCAGCTGGGGAGCGACGAGGGGTGGCGTCAGCATCCGCAAGGAAGCAGGCTCCCTTTGAAATCAGTTCCCACCTGCTCCTGGGGAAGACCTTACGGTCCCTCCAGAGGCAGGTTTCCCTCAAGTATAACCCCTTCCCAGCTGCATCTGTGGAGAGGAAACTGTACTTAGGGAAGGGTTAGATGGGGCCAGATCAATGGCCCACTTGGCTGAGTCTTGTCCGCAGACTCTCCAGAGACTGAGCCTTAGGACAAGGATCTTTCCTGTATTGAACTGAAGACACCATGTGTGGATCCAACCTGAGATATTCTGTACGCCGGGCAGGTGTTCTGTGCTATTGAATGACTTCGATACGTTGCTGCCACTGAGGTGAGACGAGAAACTGCAAGCCATATGCAAAGCAAAAGAATCGCCAACACTCTTTATAGCACGCACAAGGTCCTGGAGCCTGAGACGGTCATCTCTTTTCAGATGTGAGGGCTGGAGTGGAAAGTCAACGAGTATGACGACCATTTCTCCCCAGTTTTTTTTATCAATAGACTGCTCGTCCTGCAAGACACCTCTTGTGCTTTTTACTCATTTACTACTATGAAAACTGGACTACTACTCTGCTCCTTCCAAAAGCAAATGAATAAATACATGATTAAAATAAAATGAAACAAAGGAAAGAAACTCTCAATATATTCTGTGAGTACATCTCGGTTACACATTTGTAGCCGTTTGATACCAGCTTAGCAGCCATAGCTCACTCCTGTGGACTCTTGGGGTTTGTCGTTGGGGAGGTGCTTAGAATTGCTTGCCAAGAGACCTCTTGTTCAATTCCTGAATTATTCCAGAGGATTCTAAGGATGGAGCTATGAGAATTAAAAAGGGGTACCAAGCGGCTAGAACTGTACAGTGGTGCCTTGCACAATGAGTGCACCCTACAAGGCCGGTTTGCGATCGCACACCGCTGCCTGCATAGGGCGAAAATCGCAGAGCGAAGATCGGTAAGCGGTTCGCTTACTGACCTTCGCTTTGCGACCCGCCGATCAGCTGTTCGGCGGCTACAAAATGGCTGCCGGAAGCCCCAAAATGGCTGCACGCAGCATTTTCGTGCCCTCGTTAAGTGAGGGGAGGGCGCGAAAATGGCTGCCGGCCATTGCAAAACATTGCTGAATGGTGAGTATATCAGCCGATTGGAACGCATTAAACGAAGTTTAATGCGTTCCAATGGGCTTTTCTGCCCCGTTCAGCGATGTTTTCACACATCCGGATTAACCTCACTGTGCGAGGCACCACTGTATAGCATGGATACACCATAGGATCCCAAAAGAGATGGAAGAACCAGAGTAGACCCACTGCAAAAGGACAGGTGGATTTCCGTGTCATGTAGATACCTCTCAAGAACCATGTGGACAAAGCGTGTCTACCCCACAGTTAGTGACAGGAAATAAGGCTGGTGGCTTTGAAATACTTGCAAACTAATATGTTGCCCGCTTCCTGAGATGAATTGTCTAAGTCGAGAGTTCAGTTCCACCCTGTGCCACCTTGATAGCATAAAAAAAAAGGAAAGCTGCATGTAAGGAAATGTCCAGGGGCACAATTCTCTTTTTAAAGGCGGTTTTCTTGCTGCCTTTCAAACTTGTAGTGATCCAAGAGAGTGTGGCCGTAGGAGATGGGCGTAAATAAATGAGAAACATGTAAATAGTTGGACATATGGGAAATGGGCATAACCTTCCGTGTGTGAAGAAAGCTTGCAAGGAATCAAGGGGATGGGGTTGCAGGTGAGATTCAAAGAAGCACAATGAAATCACGACGGAGAGACTTCCAGATGTAAGAAATGCACTCAGGGTTTTTTTTTTATCCACGACGAGAAACGGTGTCTTGACCGTTTCACACTGAAACGCTGTGTTAAAAAACGAGCAGTTACTGAGAAGTTTTTCATTCCAACCTCAGAGCGAAAAGACCAGCCTTTATCTGTGACAGCAACACAGTTTCCAAAAAACAGGCTTTGGTTTTCGGATGTATATGCATAGATTGCATGAAAACTTTGCATTTTGTATTGAAGATGCCGTTTGCTCAAAATAAGTTGCTCGTGTGAAACAGTATTTTTTGTGAACAAAAACAAAAAACACTTCTATACATTTTTGTTCAAGGTGTGAAATGCAAGAAGAAAAGGAAAAAAAACCCACAAAAACTTACTTAGTCCTGTCCACTGGGGAAGAAAACTTTCAAAATGTTCTATTATATTCTGAAATAGGTGAAGATTAGAGATGGGCATAAACTGCTGGTTCAGCGGTTCATTCCAGTTCATTTATTGGCCAAAAAGGTGTTCAGTGCTTCCTAGCCCTGCCTCCACAATGGGTACCCAATCAGGGGCAGTGCCCAGAGGAGGTGGTGCAGAGAAGCCAGGGTGCTGCCTCTGAGTGGGCGCCTGCTGGGGGAGGCAGGAGTAGGAAGCGCTGAAATGAGCTAGAAATGAACTGGCATGAACTGCCACACCCGACGGTTTGTATCCATCTTTAGTAAAGATTTGTATCCCTAACCCATGCTATATTCCCAGTGTGAAAGCAACTCTACATGATATGTCTGCGTGCACGCATGCACACATGGTCTTGTTTGTGTGTGTGTGTGCACGCACACTTTTAGTCACTGAAGTTTTAACAGTTTGAGATTATTTTGTTTCCTCAGTAGAAATGAAAGTGATTCTGCCTCTTTCTCCGCTTCCTTTGGGAGCTACAGCCTTGATTGCAGTACAATGTGGAAATGAATGCTGTGTTGCTCAGCTTTCGTAAGGATCTGAGAAATTTCCTGAATGCCGAGAAAAAGCGATAGAGCGCAGCAATACATTGGCACTGCTGAAATAGCAAAGCTCCCCAGATCCAATTATCTTGAATCGCCTCAGCTCCTTCTTTATCTCACCAGAGTGTATCACATGGCCCGTTCCCTGCTTGGATAATATCTTCAAAAGCCCTTCCTTCTCTTCTTTTTAGCAAATACAAGTTATGGCATCTGTGGAAAGCCATGGTTGCTGTTATAATATCCCGGCGGGAAATGCTGCATTGTCACTTTCCATGATGTTTGGACAAAACCACCTTTTTGCTGCTCTTATGGCTCAAAAATAGCCTCGTTCGTGTGCATTCTTCTTAAAATAGCTTCACCTGTCTCCAGACAAGAAAGCAGAAGCCTCACAATTCAGTCACAATTCTGACGTCCTCCTCGGGTGGCCGACCTGTGGATGTTTTTCACTGCGATGAAGAGTCAACTGTTTAGAATCTGAAACGTGGGGTAGAACTCCATATTCTGCCATATTATTCACCTGGTTCTGCCCATGTTCCATCCTTATTTTAATGTTTTCATTCGTGGACACTCTGAAGGTGTCAGTAAAAAATAAAAGTATAGGGGCAGTTATAAAAGGGCCAAAGAGAGGAGGAGACAAAAAGTGCATGCATCTATCTTGCACAAAGCTTGGAAACAATGGTTGGCTCCGTGTCGTAAGTCAGAACTAGAGTAGGCCCATTGAATCAGTGGGACTTCTACAGGGATTTATCGTAATCTGTCTTCCCAAATCCCCACTGATTCAATGGGACTGCTCTACATGTGACTTATTATGCTAAAGCAACAGGACTTCAGCCATGTTGTTGCAAGTAAGGTGTTGACTGTAACTGTGAGTACTTTGTGGACCAGTTGAGATGGTACCTTTGGGTGCCTTGCCCCAGAATATTTGGGGGGATGCCCTCCCCGCTTAGTTATAGCTGTTACTACCTGCAAAACATACAGTGGCGTACATTTAAGAAGTGCTGTGATGTTGCTATTTTTTTAAAATCCATTTAATACTGTTTGCGGTTGAACTTCTAATCATTCTTGATTTTGTAAAATAAATCAATAGCAACTTGTTAGTACCAGCAGTGCAGGAACTATCCTTTGGGTCCCTGAAAACATAACCCTACCACTGCTTAATTTTAGATCAGCACATCGTTAGCTTCATTTGTCTTAAAAGTTGCTCTCCAAGAGCCAAAGTGGTCAGGTGGGGAGGAAGTGACTGGTTGTCTGGGTTTCCTCAGCAGGCCACCTTGCCTCTTCTTCATCATTTTTGGTTTCCTACTTTGTGTGTATTTTTCCACTATCTTCATCTCGC